GGGGGATTGTCCACTATTCGGCCCTGGTGTAGCTCAATGATTTCCCTTAATCACATATGCGTTGTGAGACCAAGCATTATTCTGTATCGCCAATTCCCGGATGGGTGACCACACGGGTAAGGTGGGTTTTAGTGACAAATCCTCGTCACATATATCTACACGTTTTCTAACCAACAGTACCCTCTCCCTCAGTTAAAAACATRATAAATAACCAACAGCATAATGGGCATAAATGTTGTAGCCTTAACTCAATAAATAAAGAATCATGTTCTTTACAATAGAACACGCGTGGATGAGGTAAAACTTCTTTAAAAAGTCTATGGAAAAAAGATCCATCACGGTTTTTGTTTGTACAGGCACAGAGTTAGATTGTGGTAAACATACAGTGGCGTTATTTTCGGCTGTTCACCTCACCCAGATCAACGGCTCCGGAGTACTTACCACGCTAGCAAGAACACGGTAACATGATTGAAAAATTCGATAGTCTRTTTGGACTCACAGAGTTAAATTATGGTAACAGAAAGTGACGTTTTTCACCCGCTGGTCAGTTCATTCAGTTTAACCGGATTGACGACTTCCGAATACTAACGACTTACGCTAACAAATAAGTTTCGCTTCAAAAAATGTGTGATACTTTAAGGTATTACAAAATATGGCTCTGTTATAGTTAGTACATACTTAAATTTGTCAACTAAAAATATCTGTTTCACCCTTTATATACCAATTCGTAATACTATAATTACCCACATTGTTTTTATTCGTGCTATAATACCCGAAGTAAATTAGTTAATCCTTATTTTATGCTTGCAGAATTTTGATTACAATTTCCACCTTTCAACAAACCAATTCAAAACAGGTATTGCGTTATATTAAAACTTTTATTTGCAACGTATTTTCCTAAGGTTATTTGTTTGAACAACTGTAAGCTGGCATTGGATATTATTACATCTAACTTTGTTGTATTGTTGGTAATAACGGAAATACTAATCTCAAATCACTCGTGAAAGCATTGTTTTTAAAATCCGTTCGTTTGGTTAAAAAAAATTATATATTTATATATAATGTATATTATATTATGCCATATTTATATGGGTGCTTTGTAGGTAAAGTACTCAATTTTTAGAAAGAATCACGGACTTTTTTGCCCTAACGAAAATATAATGAAACGCATTGT